CCCCACCACCACCACCCCCAATCACAGATTAAACAATTTTAAAAGTCTTACCGATGTTGGGATGCTTCAATAATCTGCAGATTCTGGCTTCTCTCTCCAGCTTCTGATGGTCTACAAAAAACAAAATAACAATATTTTTGTTTGTTTTTACATTCAACAAAGTTGAGTCTAGTTCATAAAAATAAAAGGATACAGAGTACTGAGATGGACAGTCCCAAGAAGCAGAATGCAAATATAAACCATTTTATTGTGAAGGAGACAGGAAGGCAGGTGAGTGATAATCTGTTGGATAAATAGAAGTAGGACCAGGAAGAGGTGTCAAGTAATTAAGTACAAATAAAAATGTATACTGTTCTGACATCCAATTGAACGCACTCCATCATACCTGTATGACACAAATCACATCACATTCCAGCAGGACAGACTGTAGCAGATGCATGCTGGCTATAGCGTACACCCGTGTGCTATAGCCAGCTCGTCCGGGGGAATCCCAAGGCGTTCCCAGGCCAGCTGAGAAACATAGTCCCTCCAGCGGTCTTCCTTTGGGCCTCCTCCCAGTGAGATGTGCCTGGAACACCACACCAGGGAGGCGTCCAGGAGGCATCCTAACCAGATGAACCACCTCAACTGGCTCCTCTCAACATGGAGGAGCAGCGGCTCTACTCTGAGTCCCTCCTGGATGACTGAGCTTCTCACCCTATCTCTAAGGGAGAGCCCAGACACCCTGCGAAGGAAACTCATTTTGGCTGCTTGTATCAGCGATCTCGTTCTTTCGGTCACTACCCAAAGCTCGTGAACATAGATGAGGGTTGGAACGTAGACCGACCAGTATATCGAGAGCTTCCTCACAACAGACCGGTACAGCGACGGCATCACTGCAGATGCAGCACCAATCCACCTGTCGATCTCCCGCTCCATTCTTCCCTCATTCGTGAACACGACCCCAAGATACTTAAACTCCTCCACTTGGGGCAGAACCTTTCCTCGACCCAGAGAAGGCACCCTACCCTTTTCCGGCTCAAGACCATTGATTTGGAGGCACTGACCGTCATCCTGGCTGCTTCACACTCGGCTGCAAACCGTTCCAGTGAGAGCTGGAGATCACAATCTGATAAAGCCAGTAGGATCACATCATCTGCAAAAAGCAGAGATCATCTTTTTGGTGACCTAAGGTCACCAAAAAGGATTCCCTCAACACCATAAAAGTTATGAACAGAATCGGTGACAAAGGACAACCTTGGAGGAGTCCAACTCTCACCGGAAACAAGTCCGACTTACAACCAGCAATGCGGACCAAGCTCTGCCACCAGTCATACAGGGACCTAATAGCCCATATCAATGGGCCTGGTACGCCGTACTCCCAGTGTACCCCCCCCACAGGAGTCCCAGAGGGACACGGTCGAACACCTTCTCCAAGTCCACAAAGCTTTATCCTTGATGGCTATTTTTTTAAGAGTTCATTACTTTTACTTTTATACTTTAAGTAGTTGTAAAACCAGTACTTTTATACTTTTACTTTTATACTTTTACTTGAGTAAAAAGCTTGAGTTGATACTTCTACTTCCAAAAAAGTATTTTTAAACCCTAGTATCTATACTTCTACTTAAGTAATGAATGTGAATACTTTTGACACGTCTGGGACCAGGTAAGTTACTTCGTGAGGAGATAACGGAGGTACTTCCTGTGTGATTTGTCTAACAGTTTGGGTTTCTTCTGGCAGGTCCTGAAGGGAAGAGATTAATTTTCTGAGGATTGAGGTCCAACGATCAGAGGTCCAAGATTCAGACTTTAGAGACATGCAAGAGCTGACGTCTCCTTTAACAACACAGGAGGAGCGTGAGTGAGGAGATAATCTGGAAGGTGTGGATCTTAAGTGAGGTGAGTTCACGGAACCCCTAAATGGTTGGCGCCTGGTGGTCTAAGTGCATTCTCTGGATGGTCTCTACGGTGGAAATGAGCTTGGGGTTAAGAATGAAAGGGCGTGAGTTCAAAGAACACTCTTCACACCCACAGTCTTCCCAACCAGCCCCACTGTGACCTCTGCAGTGAAGAATGGTCTGGACTGTGTAAATGAGGTGATCATTGATGATTCAGGTGGGTGGAGGGGGTGCGAGGACATAATCCGGTGATTTAACTCTAAAATCATTGTGTGACTTTTAAAGGTCCCACAAATATCCATGACACAGCTCAGCCTTAAAGTTAGACTCCAATCAGCTGCTGCAGGCACCACCCGAGCAGCACCGACCCAGTAACGCCTCTCAGAAGTCACTCTGTAATGGATGGTGGTTAGTGGAAAAATAAAAACAGAAACTCTGACAGGGAGGAAACAAGTGGTGAAAAGGAAAGAAAGAACTAAAGAAAAAGAAAAAGTAATCACAGGAAGAACCAAGAACACCAAGTTCAGGAGAGAAGATCTTAGAGAAGAGAGTAAAAGAACACCAAAGACTGAGTCACAACTTCCAGCAACACAAACAAAAACAGAAGGAAAAAAGGAGAAGATTAGAAGAAGCACAAAAGAGAAGGAAACCATACAGTGAACAAGGAGAAAGGAAGGAGATTAAAATGAAGAAGACAAGAGTTGAGAAGTTTAAAGCAGAGGAGAGAGACTAGATGAAGTCCAGCTGAGTGGAGAATCTGCTTTAATCTGAGTGACAGCTGGTTCTTCTCGATCCTCTAGGGGTTTTCTCTGCATGTTACTGAAGTAAATCAGGAGAGCTTCATCAGAGCTGGACTAACCAGAGAATGTTATTTAAAGTGCCTGTGACTTGCATATTCTTCAAATACAGAAAGTCAAAGAAAACATCTTTACATTTAAGAAAGCTGAAATAAAAACACATTTTGTCCAATAACTACGAAGGGTTCGTACGAACATGCCACGTCAGATTCAACAAACTCTTCTATCTTCAGGAAAAGTGTCTAAATGAATTTCACCTGTTCGTTTCCAGCTGCTCGTGCACGCGAGAGGAGATTAGCATAATTACCACCCCAAAAACACCATATAAGGCTATGTTTCCTGCCTCAGA